TTGCAGAAAGTTGTGCAGATGCTTGAAGAAGTGGTGGTCGGTTGGCAAGAGGTCAGGTGAATAAGGTAGATGAGGCAAAACTTCACAGCCCAATTCCTTCAGCTTTTGAAACACTGGTTGGGTGGCATGCTGTTGGGCATTAGGCAGATAAGATTTGGGCCCTTTCTGTTGACCAATGCTGGCTACAGGTGTTGTAGTTTTTAGTGCATATCATGGATTTGCTGAGCATACTTCACACATGCAATGGTTTCTCAGGGATTCCGAAAGCTGAATCAGTAGTGGGTCAGACTGGCAGCAGGCCACCACACAGTGACCATGACCTTATATTGGTGCAAGTTTGGATTTGGGAAGGCCTTTGGAGCTTCTTCTCGGTCCAACCACTGAGTGACAAATGTGACAATTGTGCATAAAGTGACAATAAAGTGACAAATGTGCATTAAAATGGCCTAAAATGTAGCCACATTTATTTAACAATCTATTCCATTATCAAACGGCAAATTTCAACAATACAAATACCACAATTACTTTTGCACCAACCAGGGCTTTCTAAAAGCAGCTCCACTGGGCGACGGTTGATGTGATTTCTGTTTTTAGCACATTGAACAAACTTTGCTGAGGACAACATAGCAACAACTTCAAAATATTTAAGACATGTTCTTTAACCCAGAAATTCTATTTCTAAAAGCATATTAAAAAGATATTGTCACTTATGGGTAAACTGATGACTATTAAATTATATTTATTGCTGTTTAAACCTGTCATAGCAAAGCTTAGAAATACACAGATTAAAACAATGTGACAACGTTTTCACAATATAAAAATAGTGAAGTGATGGCATGTGCAAAAGCTGCAATCGTATAGGGTATAACTGTAATGATGGAGTTCTTTGAGTTTTGATATACAACGTGTACAAGACACAGCATTAGAAGGAAAAAGCAAGTGAGGAAGAATGTGTCAAATTGGGAAGTGGTGGTTTCCAGGAGCAGAACTGCAGGGCTGAGGGAACAGATGGGAGCCTGTTTCCCTTTCCACCTGCTGTTTCCGCTGCATGATTCTAGATATAATTTGGGAGGCCGACGCAGGTGGATCACCTGAGGTCAGGAGTTCGAGACCAGCCTGGTCAACATGATGAAACCCCATCTCTGAAAAGAATACAAAAATTAGCCAAGCATGGTGGGGCATGCCTATAATCCCAGCTACTGGGGTCCAGGCTGAGGCAGGAGAATTGTTGGAACCTGGAAGGCAGAGGTTGCAGTGGGCCGAGATCACACTACTGCTCTCTAGCCTGGCTGAAAGAGCAAGACTGTCTCAAAAAAAAAAAGAAAAAAGAAAAAAAGGTTTTATAATTAAACCAATATCAAAGATTCTAGAAGAGGGATACGGACATGTCGAATGTCTACATGTTTCTTATAGTACTGATATGTTAATGGTACAACTCTTACAAATGACATTCATTTCTTAAAATTAACCCACCGTTTGACTTTAGTTTTACTTATTCTTGACCTAGTGTCCTAATGAGCTCGTTTCGCCTTTAGCCTGAAAACGTCATTTTGTCCTCTTCACACTGGCCCCAGGAGGGGCTACACACACTATAACCTCTTCACGAGGGTCAAAGTGCCCCTGAATTCCACAATGGTTTAACTTTCCACTCCATCAGGTACAGGTCTGGGGCTCCAGAGGGTGGCAGGGCCCATCTTCAGAAAATAAGAGGCATTTGTTCCCCAACTTAATGAACGAAATTGTGGTTTCTTTACATGTTTCAGTATGAAAAAGAAAATATTCAAGTAAACTGCAAACAGAAAAGTAAATCAGGGTCCTCAGCCTCCCTATCAGCTTGGATCCAGTCCAGACACTCTAAACATAAGGCCTCATGGCCAAGATGAAAGCCTGGAAAACACCAGAACACAAAAGGGACCTGGAAGGCAAGGGCAGCCCTGCCCCCACCCATCACATGCGCACCTCCTCTCACTGCAGCATCTGTCTCAGCCCTTCTCCCAGCAGACCTATACATCCAGGCTGACTCCTCACTCCCCACACATCTGCTCCTGCTCTCCCTTCTGCAGGTGACCCCAGCCACGATGAGGACCCTCACCGTCCTTGCTGCCATTCTCCTGGTGGCCCTCCAGGCCCAGGCTCAGCCATCCCCGGCAAGAGCTGAGAAGGTTGCAGCCAAGGAGCAGCCTGTAGCAGAGGACTGTGACTTTGCCATCTCCTTCACATGGGACACGAGATCAGATTTTAGGGCTTCAGGTGAGAAATTCTAGCATTGTAGAGCTAGGAGTCTAGAGGGGAAAAACCAGGCATCTCTAGAATCAGACCCAACAGTTGGCTCTTTCTAGAGAGGAAAAACCAGGCACCTCTAGAATCAGACCCAACAGCTGGCTCTTTCTAGAGAGGAAAAATCAGGCACCTCTAGAATCACACCCAACAGCTGGCTCTTTCTAGAGAGGAAAAACCAGGCACCTCTAGAATCAGACACAACAGCTGGCTCTTTCTAGAGAGGAAAAACAGCTGGCTCTTTCTCTTTTGTGAACACCTCTCCAGGCCTCAATTTACTCATGTGCAGAATAAAAGGAAGGAACCAGTTGATATTCCACGGATGACTTTTCTCCAAAGATGTATGATTTTCTGACAATTCTGAGACTCACACTTATTTTATACTCTGCAGAAACATACTGGGCCATCTCCCCTGCATCACTGGTGAGAGCCCACTTTTCAAAAAATACAGTTTGAGAAACTAGCGACAGGTCTAAAAGTGTGATCAGATGCCTGGGTGATGAAGAAGGAGCACAAAAAGGTGAGTGAATGAGAACAGGTCTCTCATCCTACCTGTGAGCAGCACTGGGGTGTACACTGATTCCTATTGATTGGGCTGATTTTGCTGCTGCTGTGATGTGGCCACCATGATGAACGCGATCAGCCCAGGAGGTAACTGCACGGGGATTCTCCGTACCACGCTGTCTGACCACAGCCCTAATGCCTGATCCTCTATGTGTCCCCAGGCCCAAGGACCCACTTGAGATGCTCTTGCAGAATAGGAGTCTGTCGCCTTGAAGAAAGCGTGTCTGGAACGTGCACCTCCGACGGGATCCAATACAAATTCTGCTGCCTCTGAGCTTGTAGAACAGGAGAAAATAAGTTCATAACTTACTTTCCGACCAGGAAGATAACTTTCATTATGCCTCTACTTGGTCCCTAGCTTCCTTTCTCCATCTCTCATCAAGTCCTTGTAGCAAGTTTTCTGTGTTTGCACCTCTTTAATGTTTGATATGTGTCTTAGGACCATGGGATGCAAGTACCAGAACCCCAAATTCTGCTTGTTAAACAAAAGACACTTCCAACTCTAGGAAGATCAGAGATGAACAAAAGACTCAGAAACACATTGTTAGGAAAGCTCAAATGATGCTGCCCATCAACTGCTCTGCCTTTCCACACTGCCTCATTGTGACTGGATTCAAGCAAAGATGGTGCTTAAGTGTTCCGTAAACCATCACTGTCAGCTTCAAGCTTACACAGCCATAACACTGCTTCCCCTCAGGAAAAGCCAGCATGTTCTTTCCAGAAGTGTTTGAGTTTTCCTGAGCAGTTCTGGATCGCACGTCTGCTTTTTACACCTGACATAGTATCAGCTCCACGGGAAAAAAAAGTGGAACTGGCTGCTACAAAGATATGATGAGTAGAAGAGAAAGCACAGGGCCACCTCACTGGGATGTCCTCATTAAGAGTATTTTCCAGCCATATCTACTAAAATCTAGATTTCATACACACAGAGTTGTCTGTACACTCAGAAAACGC